CTGATGCTGATGAATAGGTAAACAAAATATGGAATATGTGGGCAGTGGAATATTTTGTGTTTTGAGACAAGAGCTTTCTATGTAGCCCAGGCTGGTCTTGAACTTGCAGTAATCTTCTTGCCTCAGCCTTCCCAGTGCTGGGATTACAGGTGAGCGACACCATGCCCAGTCTGTGCAGTGGAACAGTAATCAGTCATAAAAAGAAATTGCCAAAGTAATGAAGTTCTTAAATATGTATGATACGGATAAACTTTGAAAGCGTTATGCTAGGTGAAAAAAGCCAGTCACAAAAGGACAAATACTGTCTGATCCATTTACATGAGACATATGGAAAATTAGTAGAGGGGCTGGGGATGTAGCTCAGCAGCACAAGCACCTGCCTGGCAAGTGCGAGGTCCTAAGTTCAATTTCCAGTACCAAAAAAGAAAAAATTAGTAGAGACAGAAGGTAGATTAGAGGACAGGGCTAAGCGTAGGGGAGAGTGGAGATTCATTGCTTAAGGAGTACAGTTGTGAGGTTTTTGTTCATTTGTTTAGTACTATGGGACTGAACATGAGTGTTTGTACTTAACTAGGTCTGCAGTATTTTTTTATTTTGTCTTTTTGTTTTTTCTGGTACCAGAAATCGAACTCACGACCTTGTGCTTGCCAGGCAGGCACTGTGCCGCTGAGCTAAATCCCCAGCCTCCTTTTATTTTGTATTTTGAGACAGAGTTTTTCTAAGTCACTAAGTTGCCCAGGTTGGACAAGAGCTTGTGATCTTCCTGCCCTAGCCTCCCAGAGTGCTGGTATCACAGGCATGTGCCCACCACACCTACATGGAGTACACTTTTTTACTGAGGGTGATAAAAAATTTTTGAGCCAGATGTGGTGGCTCAGAAAATCACACCTGTAATCCCAGAACTTGGGAGGCAGAGGCAGGAGGATTGCTGCTAGTTTGAGACCAGCCTGGGCTACAAAGTGAGCTCAAGGCCAGCCTGAGAACCTGTCTCAAAAAGAAAAAAAAAAATTGAAAAGAGATAGTGGTGATGGTTGCACCACATTGTGAATGTAATACCACTGAATTATACACTTAAAAATGGCTAAAATGAGAGCCAGGCACTGTGGTGCCTGTGATCTCAGGTGCTGGGGAGGCTGAGGCACAAGAATTGCTTGAACCCAGGAGTTCAAAACCAGCCTGGGCAACACAGTGAGAGCTGCCTATAAATAAATAAGGTTAAATGAGAATGTTACCTACTTTCACTACCATTTTAAAATACATTGGGGCTGGGGATTTAGTTGAGCAGCACGACACCTGCCTGGCAAAGCGCAAGGTCATAAGTTTGATTCCTGGTACCAGAAAACAAACAAACAAAAAAAAGCATTAATTTTTGTACAAGTACATTAATTTAATAATAATGCATCCATAAATATGAAGTTACCTTTTTTTTTTTTTTGTCTTTTTAAGACAGGGTCTCACTATACACTTCAGGCTGGCCTTGAGCTCATTTTGTAGCCCCGGCTGGTCTCAAACTCCAACGATCCTCCTGCTTCAGCCTCCTGAGTGCTGGGATTATAGGCATGCACCACTATGCCCAGCAATAAATATGAAGTTAGCTTTTTACATTAAATATTTAATAATTAAATGTTAACATTTAAAATTTTAAAATATATATTCCATTCCAAACAAATATTGGTATCACTTTTATGCAAATTTTGTTAATGTCTATCTTAATAGGAGACTGTTAGATTATCATCTCTGCTTCTGCATTCAATACATTGTGAATTTTTTTGTCCCTTGTTAGATCTAAAAAGAGCCCAGGAACTGGGTGTGGTGGTATATCCCATCATCCCAGCACTCAGGAGGCTGTGGCAGAAGGATCACATGAGTTTGAGGCCAGCCGCGGCTATATAGGGCATTCAAGACCAGGCTGAACTATATAGCAAGACACTGTCTCAAAAAACAAAACAAAACAAAAAAAATAATATAAAATTTAAAAGTCCAGCTCACATAAATGTTAAGTTGAGAAAGGTAGGAATAGAGTAGTAACCCTGTCAGATCATCAGAAATATTCTTCTTTGACCCTATATCAAAATCTTCCTGGGCCAGGGATATAGTTCAGTGGTAGAGCATCTGCCTGACTTGTGCATGGCCCTGAGTTTAATATCTGGGACCACAAAACAAAACAAAAACAGAAACTTCAACAAGTGGTAGTTTTGGTTCTCCAAACCAGTAGTTTTTTTAAAGGTTAGCTGCAATATGGAACCTGAAATTATAAGTGAACTTTTTGAACCCTGTTATGTTAAAATTCATGAATCTATCTTGTTTTTTTCTATCTTGTTTCTTTTCTTTTCTTTTCTTTTTTTTTTTTTTGTCTTTTTGAGACAGGGTCTCGCTACGCAGTTCAAGCTGGCCTTGAGCTTACTTTGTAGCCCAGGCTGGTCTCAAACTCCCAATGATCCTCCTGCCTCAGCCTCCTGAGTGCCACCATGCTCAGTTCTTCTATCTTGTTTCTAACTGAATGTTTTACTTTATCTGATTTTGTAATATGACACATTCCCCAGTCCTTTGGAAAATTTGATTGACTTATGCAGATTTTCCAAATGTTGATACATTTCATTATATAATATCAAAAATATTTGTTAACATCACTATCAATGTTAGAAAAGTGTTTAAGAATTGGGTGTGGTTGGTGCACAACTGTGATCTTAACAACTCAGAACTGAGACAGGAAGCTGGAAAGTTAGAAGACAACTGGGACAAGTTAGCAAGACCCTGTCTCAAAAATAAAGTAAGCCTGGTGTGGTAGCCTATAATCCCAGCACTCAGGAGGCTGAGCTCGAGGCCACCCTGGCCAATATTGCAAGATCCTGCCTCAAAAAAAAAAAAAAGAAGGAAGGAAGAAAAGAAGGAAAGAAGGAAGGGAAGAAGGAAGAAAGGAAGGAAGGAGAGAGATAGGGGGACCAGGAGAATAGCCCAAAGGCAGAGTGCTTACTTAGCACAAAGCCCTGGCTTCAATCCCAGTCTGACCAAAAATATTTTAAAATTTAAGTCTTTGGAAGCTGTCAGACTTACAATGGTGGATATAAGTTTTCCAAACTTCAAATTTTCTCTTGAAAGCCCAAAATTCATTTCACAACAAATTCTGTCAGTTGTTTTCCTTGATGTGTTCAATTTATTCATTTTTGAGAAAATACCTGTCAACTCCCAAATCTGAATAACAACTATAGTTTATTTGTCAGCTAATCATTCAAGTAAAATATTGTATGAAAATAGCAGCTTGTTCACTTTACAGCTTAAACAGTCACGCAAAGTGCTAGTACTTCTCTTCAACACAACCATCGCACCATCGTATTTCAAATAGCAGAAGTACTTCCTGTTTATCACATTTTAAAAGATACAGTTATGTCTTGTATATTTCAAAAAGCTAAAAGGAAGGAATTTGATTGTTTTTGCCTTGAAAAAAAAAAACAAACCTAGAACCCAGTGCGGTGGTACACACTTGTAATTCCAGCACTCAGGAGGCTGAGGCAAGATGATTGCCTTCAGTTCAGGGTCAATCTGGGCTATATTGTTACAACCTGTCTCAGAAAACAAAAACACACAGTGTGTTGATGCATGCCTCCCTGGCATTTGGGTGGTTGAGGCTACATAGTGAGCTCAAGGTCATGCCTGAACTACATAATGGTACCTTTTTTTTTTTTTGGTACCAGGAATTGAACTCAGGACTTTGCACTTGCCAGTGGGTGCTGTGCCACTGGGCTATATCCCCAGCCCAACAACAAAGATTTGAGATTTAATTTTTGGATTTGTTTTACAGGACTGCAGATTGAACCCAGGACCTTTGCACTGAGCTACATCCCTAGCTTTTGTCCAGGCTGGGGTTGAGTTTGTGGTCCTCACATACACTTATCACGAGCTTTTTTTTTTTGGGTACCGGAAATCGAACTCAGGACTTTGCGCTTGCCAGGCAGGCACTTATGCCGCTGAGCTATATCCCTGGCCTCACATAGACTTATTAAGAAGTATACTTCTTTTTCCTTTCTTTTGTTCATTTTGTTTTAGTATTAGGACTTGAACATGAGCCTTCACACTGTGCTATATCCCCAGCCCTTTTTTATTTTTTGTTTTGAGACATTCTCCTAAATGCCTAATTGCCTAGGCTGGGCTCAAACTTGCAATCCTCTTACCTCAGCCTCCACACGTGGCAAGTTGGGGTTTTGTTTTGTTTTGTTTTGTTTTGTTTTGTTTTGTTTTGTTTTGTGACAGGGTCTTGCTTTGTCACCCAGGTGATTTTTCTGCCTCAGCAGGGATTATAGGCATACAGTACCATGCCCCGCTTATATAATTTATTTCATTGCTTCTTCAAGGACATTACATGAAACTAAATTTTCTTTTCTTGTGTGGCGCTAATGATTACTATGAACTGACACAGCTTAGTACGACTGGCTACATCTGTACTTAGGCACTAGCAATTTTGGCCACAATTGCTTTTGCATTAAAGGTTACAACTTGTAAAAGTGTAAAGGCAAATAACATCTTAGAAGTATTACAAAAGTAGTTTTGCCTTTGAAGTCTCCTTGAAAGGGTCTTGAAGACTCCCAGAGATCCCACACCACACCTTGAGTGCATGCGGCCTAAGGGAACTTTCATAGTGGAAATTTCAGGTTTTGTTGGATTAATGTAGAGACATGTTCTTTTCTTTTTCTTTCTTTCTGTCCTTTTTTTTTTTTTTTAAAGACAGGATCAATCTTACTGTGTAGTTCAGACTGGCTGTAGGCTGGCCTGGAGTTCACAGTGATCCTCCTGTCTCAGCCTCTCAAGTGCTGGGATTACAAGTGTAAGCCACAATGTGTGGCCACTACAGGAGATGTTTTTGTACAACCTTGTACTACTGAGCTCAGGACACACCACCCAGGTAACCTCACTTCTTCCTCCTGAGCACTGGGTCAGCACCTACAGTTGTTAGGTATGTCATGTTTCTAGCTTTTCTTATCTTGTCTTTTCTGTTTGCCTTCTAGAGGAGAAGAGATAGCAAATAAGGAAGTCATCATCCAGGAACTGGAGGTAGGGAAAAGAGACTTCTGGGGAAATCATGCCTCACATGCATCCACACCCAGACTTTATTTCCTGCAAACTGAATCACAGCCTCCCCTGGATAGCTTGGCTTCTTCCCACCAGGTTTTCTCTGCAAAGAAACTTCACACTTTTTCCAAGGAAATGTAAAGCCCACATCCTTTCTCAATTCTAGCTGAAGTGTTAGCACCTTTGGGGCTGAGAGTTACTTTGTCTCCATGAGATTCCATGCAGCAACTGGCACAGAGAAGGCTTCCGGAAGCCTGGGAAGCCTCACATCCCAGCCACTGCCTGGTACTTGACGTTCAGGAAGCTCAACTGTAAATACACAGACGCAGCCACTATGTCTTCATTTTAATTGGAAACACTTGCAACCGCTTTATTTCTGCTTCATTTTCATTCCTTTTCTACCCAGCTACTCTGGCTTTTGATTACCTAACAGAAAGGTAGACCACATTCTACAAGGGGACCCTGGAGCCTAGCCCTGGTGTTATTGGGAGGCTTGATTCTAAAAAGTGACCGCCAACTAAGCGATACTGGGTTTTGGATTGCTCCACTCTCTTTCTGGAGTTGGATTCCAGGTTCTCACCTGGAACAAAGAATTAATCAAAACGAGCAAAAAGCAGTGGCAAAGGCATTGGTCACCCAGCTAGCAGCAGGCAGTGGAGCTGACCCACCCAGCCCAGGCTGCAGCGCCTTGCCCTGGGACCTGCAGCCCTAAACCTCCACCCAGTCCCCAGCATGTCCCCGCTTCTGGCCACGTCTGTATGTGCCAACTACTCCATGGACAGCTGCAGCTGGAGGTGCATTGGCCTGACCCAGGAACCGGGCAGCATGGGCCCACTGGCCCTGGCCTGTGCGGTGGGTGCTGCTGGAGAGCTGTACCTGACAGGGGCGCTGGGCCTAGCCCTGGCCCTGGGCGGCCCAGCCCTCAGCACGAGGCTAGGAGTCTCCTGCCTGTGTCCCTCGCAGCCTTTCGCTGGTGCCCAGGTCTTCGCTGAGCACACAGGCGGCGCCCTGGAGCTGCTAGTAGCCAAGGGCCCTGACCCAGCTGGCAAGCTCAGCATCCACTGGGGTCGTTGTGAACACCGGGCCCTGTTCCTACAGGCCACCTTGCACCATGACATCAGCCGCTGTGTGGTTGCCTTCCACACGAGGATGGGCATCCAGAGCTGCTGCCCTGAGTCCCTGGCCCTGGTGTGAATGGTGCCGGCAGGCCTTGCAGTGATGCCGAGCTTCTTCTGGCGACATACATCGGTGATTTTATGATCCATGGGACCATCCATCAGGTTGCTCATGACACAGAGCTGCAGGAATCTGTCATCACCATGGTGGCCTCCCATGTCCTTCATCAGATGCTGCCACTGTTCCTGGTAGGGGGCTCCAAGGCCCAGAGGCAGGCCTCCATTCGAATACTGCTGTTCTGTGGTGTCTGCCCTGGCCCAGGCACCTTCCTCTTGTTGGGCTGGAGCCACTTTGGTGAGGCCTGGCTGGGCTGTGCTTCCCACTTCCTGGAGTTCAGATGTGCCTCTGTAGCTGCCTGCCTCAACCCCTGTGAGGTGGCTTGGACTGAGCCTTCCTCTGGGGCAGGGTACTGGGGAGGAGTTTGTGGGAGGGTAGGTGAGGAGACAGTGGCCCCCAGATGGCATCATGATACTCAGTGCTTCTGAGGTGATAGGAACATTGATCATACCAAAATAAAAAATAAAAAAAGCAATGTCAGCCGATCATGATGGCATATGCCTGTAATCTCAGCACTCGGGAGGGTAAAGCAGGAGGATTGCTTGGAGTTTGAGGCCAGCCTGGGCTGTGTAATGAGTTCAAGACCAGCCTACACTACGCAGTGAGACCCTGTCTCAGAAAAAGAAGCAGCTGGGCATGGTGGCGCATGCCCGTAATCCCAGCACTGGGGAGGCTGAGGAAGGAGGATTGTTGCAAGTTCAAGGCCAGCCTGGGCTACAAAATGAGCTCAAGGCCAGCCTGAACTGCATAGCAAGACCCTGTGTCAAAAGAAAAAAGAAAAAAAGGACAGAGAAAGAAAGCAAAAATGAAGAATCAGGGAGATAAAGTAGCTCTGCAGAGCAAGTAAATAGCAAAAGAGGGTGAGAGCAAAGATAAAAGTACACACTGCATCTGACAAACACAGTGTGGGCTATCATGGAAAGTTATGATAGCCAAGTCTTCCATGTGTCCATGTGCCCTTTCACGCTTTCTAAATCTCTAGGAGACCCTGGGGACTTCTAGATACAGGTCCTGAGAGGTGCTGAGATTCCACACCTCACAGTGACATCAGGTCTAGGCCATCCTATTGAAAAATCTGCTGACTTCTCCTGAGAAGTCCTCATGCAGGGCTTTGGGAACTGTTCTCTGCGTGTGTCCAGGATCTTGTAGTTAACAGGTCACACCTACTTTCCCAGCCAGCTTTGCCCTGCGCTAATCTCATATCACTGGTTCAGTCACACTAGGCAAATCAGTTGTTGTAGGGAGCAGCTGAGCTAGTGATCAGTCACCCTGCAGAGGGAAGAGCAGGAGGGCCAGAGGTACACCCTGAGGGCATGAAGCACCCCAGGCAAACAGGTGTTCCAGCCCCTAGACTAGGGGGAGTGAGAGGCGAGCAAGTTGTTAGGCAAAGGGGTTTCATCTGACATTGCTAAATGTATAAATAAACACACTGCAGTGGTTGAGCAGTTCCTTTTCCTCCCATCCAGAGACAGGGCTCCACTTGACCTCAGTTTTCTATATATTGTTTCTGTCTTTATTTCTCCATCCTCTCACAATCCTTCCCCACTTTGAGAGCTGTGCTGGATGCAGCAATCTGTCAGTCAAAGTCTCATTTGTCTTATTTTACAAATGAGAAGTTTAAATTAGTTTATGCTCTTCTAACTTCATGACACAGTGATGTATGACTAGTGATTTACTAACACATATGCTTCCACATTTCAAAGAACTAGAACACAGTTAAATACATGTGTGGTGGCTCATGTCTCTTATCCCAGCTACTTTGGAGGCTGAGGCAGGACATTTGCAAGTTGGAGGGCAACCTGGGCTACATAGCAACACCTTGAAAAAAAAGGTATGCAATGCTTACCACACAATAAATGGTAACTAGCGGGAATTTACATAAATTTATATATCATCAAAGTTTGCAAAGTTCTTTTTATGTGTTCTCCTACTCTCAGTTTTGGGGAAGATGTTATCATTCCTTTAAAAAAACATTAATTGAAGCCGGGCGTGGTGGTGCATACCTATAATCCAGTATTCCGAGGCTGAGGCAGTAGGATCTCTGCAAGTTCAAGGCCAGCCTGGGCAACACAGTGAGTTCAAGGCCAGCCTGAATTATGTAGCAAAACCCTGTCTCAAAAACCAGATAAATAAATAAATAAATAAATAAATAAATAAATAAATAAATAAATAAATTACCTGAAAGCCAATGTAACCCCACTGTTTGGGTTCAGGTCTTAGCTCCACCATCCCTTTTCTTTCTTTCTTTCTTTTTTTTTTTTTTTTTTGTTGGTCTTTTTGAGACAGGGTCTCACTATGTAGTTCAGGCTGGCCTTGAGCTTACTTTCTAGCCCAGGTTGGCCTCAAACTCACAATGATCCTCCTGCCTCAGTTTTCCAAGTGCTGGGACTACAGGCATGTGCCGCCACGCCCCACTACCATTCCTTTTTTGAGGGTCAAGAGTACCAGGGATGGAACCCAAGCCTTGGGCTTACTAAGCAATTGCTGTACTATCACTGAGCTGTACTGTCTCAAAAGATAAATTTATAAAAAAAAAAACAGATAAATTGATTAGTTAGACTAATAAGCAGAGATTAATTAGGGACTGACTGATCAATGAAGAATTTTTTTGTTTGTTTTGTTTTTTCACACAGGGTCTCCCTATTCAGTTCAGGTTGGCCTCAAGCTCATGGTGATCCTTGTGCCTCAGCCTCCCAAGTGCTGGGATTACAGGTGTACGCCACCATGCCCAGCTTCAACTAAGATTTAAAGTGAAAAAAAAAGATTTGAAGAGATTAGAAGAAAAGGCTTGATGTGAGGGAAAGCAAAATAACTATGTCAGTAAATACCAGTATTCTTCATTCATTGGATAGCCATGTATATTCACTATGATAGGCACTAAAGGAGAGAGATCAAGATAAATCAGAGGTATATCCTACTTCAAGGTGATCTCTCTGTAAGGAAAATAAAACTTGCAAAATATAGAAAAGGTCTCAGGCTAACTACTGTGAGGTCTGAGACAGTTAATTATAGTTTTGGGAGTCAAGGAGGCTTCTGGCCAAGACACTACTGAACCGTACTTTACAGAACAGGTAAGATTTAGACAGGTGCTGACAGGTAGAGAGTGCATTTCAGGCACAGGGAACATCAAAAGCACAGAAGTGGAGAACAGAAAGCACATTCAAGGAACAACATATAGCTTGGTTGTGCCGGGAATGGTGGTGCACACCTGTAATCCCGCACTCGGAAGGCTGAGGCAGGAGGATTGTTGCAAGTTCGAGGCCAGCCTAGGCTACAAAGTCAGTTCAAGACCATCCTGATCTGCATAGTGAGACCCTGTCTCAAAAAGACAAAAAAAAAAAAAAAAAAAAAAAACCACCAAGAATGTGGAGTATGTGATCCAGGTGTGGTAGCTCATGCCTGTAATCCCAGCATGTAGGAGGCTGAGGCAGGAGGAGCACCATGAGTTCGAGGGCAGCCTGAGTTACAGAGATAAGACCCTGTCTCAGGGGAAAAAAAAAAAAGAAAAAAATATATATATATGGTTTGTGAAAAGCAGTGAAAAATATAAATAGTATAAATGGAAAGATTGGCTAAATTGCAACACTATTAAAAGTCATTTTAAATATATCTTTTTCAGGATTCTATCCGTGCAGTCTTGGGAAATTTGGACAATCTGCAGCCATTTGTTACTGAACACTTCATTGTATTTCCCTGTATCCTTTACCAGTCACTGAGCTACAACTCCTGTTCAAATTCAAATAGAGGCTGGTTGTGGTGGTGGTGGTGGCACATGCCTATAATCCCAGCACTCAGGAGGCTGAGGCAGGAGGATCGTTGCGAGTTAGAGGACAGCCTGGGCTACAAAGTGAGCTCAAGGCCAGCTTCAACTGCATAGTGAGACCCTGTCTCAAAAAGACAAAAAAAAAAAAAAATTCAAATAGAGGAAAACCATAGACAGTAGCCAGGCATGGTGACCATGCCTGTAATCCTAGATACTTGGGAGGCAAAAGCAGAAGGACCACAAATTTGAGTCCAGCCTAGGAACTTAATGAGATCCTGTCTCAAAATAAAATGAGGGCCAGGCATGGTGGCACATGCCTGTTCCCAGCACTTGGGAGGCTGAGGCAGGAGGATCACTTTGAGTTTGAGGCCAGCCTGGGCTACATAGTGAGACCCTGTCTCAAAAATAATAAAATAAAATAAGGACTAAGCGTGGTGGCACAAGCCTCTAATCCCAGCACTTTGGAGGCTGAACTGCTATGGCAAGCAGAAACACCAAAATGATGCCAAGGATTTAGAGGCAGATTTATTTATATTGACAGGCACTGATCGGGATCATTCCCAGAATATCAGGCCCAGATCTCTGGTGGTCTAGGGCTTACATGGCATAAGCAAGCAGGAAGTACAGAGGCAGAATGCTTGTCAATTGGGGATTGGTTTATACCATGTACATCATAGTGACCAGCTATGTAGCAACATGACCAGCCATTTCTAAGAGACGGAAGCAAATGGAACTGGAACAGGAACTATTACCTGAGCAACCAAGAAACTGAAGTGTAGTGGCTCAGGGGGCCATTTTCTGTTACAGAAGCAGGGGGATCACTATTCAAGGCCAGCTTGGGGTACATAGTGAGTTTATTTATTTATTTATATTTATTTTTTGTTTTTTTGAGACAGGGTTTCACTATGTACTTCAGGCTGGCCTTGAATTCACTTTGTAGCCCAGGCTGTTCTCAAACTCACAAGCGATCCTCCTGCCTCAGCCTCCCAAGTGCTGGGATTACAGGTATGAACCACCATGCTTGACTTACATAATGAGTTTAAAACCAGCCTGAATTACAGAGTGAGACCTTGTCACAAAAACAAAGCAAGCTGGGTATGGTGGCACATGCCTGTAATCCCTACACTCAGGAGGCTGAGGCAGGAGGATCATTGCGAATTTGAGACCAGCCTGGGCTATAAAGTGAGCTTAAGGCCAGCCTGAACTGCATAGGGAGACCCTGTCTCAAAATGACCAAAAAAAAAAGAAAAAAAAATAGTTTAGGGGAAGGAGCAGAGTCTCACTCCTAAAAGAGTTCTCAGGGTGGCATATTGGCGTCCTTCCTCACTCCTTAGCACCATCCCCAGATAAAAGCAAGTGGGAGAGAGTTTCTCACTTGAAATTCAAACATGAGGATGTCGTCTTGATCCCCTACCCATTTGTTTTTACTCTATATGTGGAGATGAAATGGTTTCATGAAAACTTGTCACCTGGTAAGTAGTGATGGGAGCAAGGCTTGACGGGTACAGAATGGGTTAGCAGTGCCAAGGGAGCCATCAGGCTTCAGCCACATAATGTGGAGTTTAGAAACACACTGTCCCAGCCTGGTTCAAATCCCCAAGGCTCTGCCATTTAGTAGCTGCATGACCTTAGATAAATCACAGTAGTAATATCTTTCTGTGCCTCCTTTGTGAAATACAAGGCGTGACCAAAAAATACATTGAAAGTTTAAATTTTAAAATATAGTTGGGTTGGGCGTGGTGGCATATGCTTGTAATCTCAGGGAGCCGAGACAGGAGGATCATTGTGAGTTCGAGACCAGCCTGAGCTACAAAGTGAGCTCAAGGCCAGCCTGAACTGCATAGCAAGACCCTGTCTCAAAAAGACAAAAAAAAAAAAAAAAAAAAAAAAAAAAAAAGACATTATTTCTAGGAAAAGTGGTACCAGGCCGAAGGGAGAAGGACACTTCTGGGTAGGGGTGTCTAGAGCCAATTCTGGGAATTAGAGTAGTCGAAAATAATCTTGATCCACTATAACACTCAAATTTCCTCTTGTAGGGAAACCAATAAATGACAGTCCTCCTGGGTTGGTAAGTTTGCTTTTCTGACCAAAATGAAAGTCGCCTTTGTTACCTCCTGTTGTCCCCAAAGTGCTGCCCTTGTGTCTTCCTCCAACTTTGCCCCTCAGATGCCAGATCCCATCAGAATCATAAACAGGAGCCCATAGGTTTCCCCTTGGCTCGATTTCAGAGCCCATGACTCTAACAGAACTTCTGTCCTTGCTGCAAAGCTGACGTTAAAAGTCGCACGTGGTAGGTTAAAGATGGGGTGTTCTCTTTGCTGTGTTAGCTTGAACTGTGAGCCACTCTGGAAGAGAAGGGGTCACAAGAGTCTGGTTCCTCCCTAAAGGTTGTAGCTGAGAAGAAAGCAGCAGGAGGCGCAATGAAGAAGCGAAAACTCCTGGAAGAGCACAGCTCCCCCCAGGAGGCAGGACTACCCAGGTCAGTGGTGTAGGGAGAGGCTGGGTCTCACATCCTAGTCATACCTTGCACCTTGCTGTCTGTTGGGCTGGCTGCCTCTACAGTTGAACAAGTCACTTTCTTTTTCTGGGCTTTATCAGTAGTGTCTGCCTATTATGGGAAATGGACGAAGGAAAAGAGGCAAGTTGATGTTTGGAATGCAATTTAAACATAGTTCCTGTCTCAGCAAAGTGAGATTGTTCTGTTCATCAAGATGAAGGCTGAGCCAGGCATGGTGGTGCACTCCTGTGACCCCAGCACTTGGGAGGCTGAGGCAGGAGGATCACTGT